GCGCAGTGTCCCCTGAGCTAGAGGACAAAGCTTTTGAATAGGAGTATCTGTTCAGGATGCTATAGCACATAGGCGTACTTTCACTATAAAGAGATTTATGCTTAAACACAGTTCGGTTGGATCCCCACACGTGCGTAAAACAGAGAAAGGCAGAGCTGTCCAAGTGACCTCTCCAATAGTGGGGAAAGAACTTGCAGCAGGAATATGATGTGATTTGTCCTTTTCTCCAACTTTTAGAGTACCCTGATCCACTCACCCAGACAGATAAGATTTCATTAATGTACTTCTGATGGACCCATAATGCTGAGACAGCTTAACATGCTGAATAATGGCTGTGCCGAAGATTCAAAGAATGTGGTGTAACTGGTGGTAATAGCATCGTTTTATTACTAATTTTACCCTCATTAATAAATTCCATATTTCTTTCTCCGTTTTATATTATTCAACCCCCCAGTGTGTTGTAATCCAATAATTGTTTTCCTATCAGATCATATCTGAAAAATGACTATATCCACTTAAACATTGATTTTATTCAAATTCTCTCCCAAGCTCAGATCGGCTCACGAGATGTCCCGTGCGCAAAGGGGGGATTTATGTATAAGCAAGTGTAACGTCCCGGCTTTACATGGGACACGGAGTGGCCTCGCCTGCCAGAACAGAACAGGTGAAGACGACACACACACACAGGCGGTTATGCACGCACTCACACGATCTCCCGCACACCCGTTACAAATGGGATTTGGCTGTAAACGCAGGGGGGATTTATCAGGATTTCAATAGTGAGATTATATCAAAGGCGTATGAAGCCCTCGTTAGTAGCGGTGGGATAATGTCATGGCAGGGTCTCCCTTTGCAGACGGCTATGCCAGCATTGTGGCCCTTTAGGCTGGGTCTGTGGGGGCCCCTAACCCCCGCTGCCTCCATGCAGCCCTCCGTCTAACTGCAGCATAATGAGGCTAAGCAACATGCAGCCTTTGTATCCTCTATCCCCACTTCCCCCCCCTCACCCTCCATGATCCAGGCCACGACTCCTTTCATTACAGGGAGATTGGAGATGAATTGCCCTGGACATCAGGGTCCCTCCTATTAAAATACATTTAGAGAGAGACCAGGGCCCCGTCACGGCTCTTAAGAGATTTTCTCATTCTCCCTCATTGGACGTTCCCTCTCTTCCTTACTCACC